TCTCAAACTTCTCTATGCAGTTATGATAAACAGAATTTCTTAAATCCATGCAAGATTATAATTTTAATGAAAAATAACTGGGTTTGTGTCTTTGAAGATGAATGCTTTGCTTACAGTTAGGCAGTGCAAGTATTTTTAAATTGGGAAAGTTACTACATCTGAATTATTTACAAGAAAGTCTCAAGTAACTGCCGTACTTTTATTAGAAGCAATTGTCCAAATCCGGCACCTCGACTAGTCCATTTGCTCTGGGAGTAAGAGCCACTGGAACAGCGAGGAGTTTTATCTTTCACTGTCCTTGTTAATGTTAGCTGCTGAGCCTATGGAAAAAAAATATTCTGAGATAGCACACAGTGCTAGTTAGCGGTATGAATGCCTGAGCCTAATGTGCTACAGCAAGTTGTGGAGTTTGTGACTTTTGTTGCAATACTATTTTATTAACATTGAAGCTGCTAGGGTACTCCGGAAACATTAAGTACTTGTCTGCCAAACCAGGAATTTTCTGAGTATTTGATAATTTAATATTATATAATTTGTGAATTAATTTGCCTGCAGAAAAGCGTTTCTCTCCCTGCTGAGAGTCGGTGGTGGTGGTTTGTTCGGACACGCAGTGTGTGTATGGAGCAGTCTGCGACGCGAGGGGGATGCGCGGGGACGAAGCGGGCAGGTTAGGTCTGCTGGAGCCCTGAAGAGAGCTCTGTTTGCAACCGTCTGAGAAACCAGCTGCTTGTCAGCCTTTGCGGTTGTGACTTGTTTGTTTTATGATGAAATCTTAAGGATTTGGTCAACATCACTTATTGACTGTCAGAGCCCAATGCCAGTAAACCGTTCTGCTTGTTAGGCTTCCCCAGTCCAAAGATGTCGCTGTTTCCAGCTGTTTGAACGCATAAACCAGTAGAGCAGTTCTTAATGTGGTCTTGGCAAGGTTTCACTTCAAAATGAGTTTTACAAAGACGACGGTAAGCATGGCTGTGATTTCTGTTAGGATCTTATGGAATAGAAATTGTCCAACTGTCTTTTGACAAGGACAGGTTTTGTTCCCTTTACCCCAAATAATTTGGTTCTATCAACCCAGCAGATTAATCTTGTCTAGTTTTGTTTTCTGAGAAATGCAGTAACAACTGAAATTAAATTGCTTTAACATACCAACACTCTTTTAAATGTATCCGCAAGTTCAAATTAGGAGATGGATTTCATGTTGTATTCACACGCGTGGCTTTGGTTTTGTTAGTGTTTACAGAGCAGCGTAGCTATGCGAAGTTCCTCGCAGATGAGAAAAAGCACGTTGCTTATTTTTATGTAACATAACTGAGCTGCACTGAATGCAATAACTTTGATTTTAAGCTCAGATGTATAGGTCAGTGCGGAGACTTCAGTAAAATTGCTTTTTCTTTTTTTTTTTTTTTTTTAGTAGATTCTTGCTTTTGACACTTTATGGCTATGGACTTTCTTGGGCCCATAACTTTATGTACATTTGGAAAATTTACAGGGCCAGGTTTCCATACAAGATTTTAATTACCCCATTCTCCAAAGTGGGTTACATGTCTTAAAAGTAATTGCATCTTTTGAGGTACTAATTGATTTTCGGGTTCAGTTCTGGTCTCAAAACAACATAGGAATATGGATTTAGTATCAGGAATAGTTTTTCTAGAAGGGCACGGGTGATTCTTACTGTTTTGTTAAGTACAAATGCATTTCCAGCCCAAACAACAGTACTGCATTTGTAATTAATCAACGCCTAAACCCAAGAGCATTGCCAGTCTGAAAATGGCAGCCTGGCAAGGTAGCGCACACGAGATCAGGAACAGAGGTTTTTCTCCGTAGGACACCGGGACGGGAAACTTGGCAGCGGTAGCTTACCCAAATGCTGGGAAAAGAAGGGGGCTGAAGTGCGCTGCTCAGTCAGAGGAAACTCGGCTACAGCCAAAAAGAAAGGTGACTCTTCAGAAGCAGCTCCCAGGTTAGCTGGGATTCAGACTAGGGTTTTGGTGGAAATTCCGTGTTTCACCCACACCCCCTGGGAGGCAGTTTGGGGTCTGGCTCAGCTCTGGATTTCACTGCGGGTCCCCAGGGAGGGAAACAGCAGCAATACCACGGGCTGACTGAAGCTTGAGGTTTGCATGTGGAGAAAGCACGATTTTAGTGCGCACATAGATTTTTCTGGGGTAAGTTGTCATCCCTCTTAACGATTCCTTGCACAGAAGTTGTTTATACCTTTCATTGCCTTTGCTGCCTTTCTCTCTCTACCTTTTCTAACTCACTGCATCCTTTTTGAAGCAAGGGACCAGATGGTCAGAGCTTATGTTATTCTAAGGACATAATAGGGGTACATCAGAAAAATTAGTACCTATGTGCTAGCAATGGGCAACAGCAAATTAGCTGTAATTAGTACAAAGGCTGCTACTATAGGGTCTCTTTGTCATGGCAGTGTGCTTTGTCATCACTCCTGTCTGCCAGTTTGAGGAAGAAGGATGAGCTCAGGGCTGGCGTGGGGCCAGCCAGAGCAAAGCTTCATTTCGGCTCCCCATGTTGCCCGTCTCAAGGGTGCACCAGCAAATCCAGAGCGGGTTCTTTGGAAGCCTCGTGAGCTGAAGATCTAGAGGTTGTGAGATCTAGAGGTCGGAGCCTTTGAGGCTTTGCATCTTCTAAGCAGAAACTGCTCATTTCGATGCAAATCAGCGTAACTGCTGAGTTAAGCGACTTTGCCTAGACCAGCTCCACCTGACAGTTTGGCCAAAGGTATGAAGAAAAATTTGTCTTCCTCTGAGCGGTGTTTCGAAGTGCCTTGTTAGTGCACAAGTAAGTATCCTTCAAAAAAACCCAGAGCTTTGCATGACAATTATGTAACAGTTTTTGTTTGCTTTCCTAATTGGAGAACATTTTGAAAGAGCAATAAAACACAATTTGTTCCCTCTTTCCGAAACAAAACATCTCCTTTTTCTAAGAAAGGAGGGAGTAAATTTACATTATAATGAGCAAATTGTTATGAGCATGTAGATCAGTGTTGACATAAAGGGCGACGGAAATGAGATGTTCTCATTTTGTGCCTTCCCCTCCCCTTTCTTTCCCTCTCGCTCGCATTTGCCTGTGCATCCTGCTGCTACAGAGCAAGGAAGTTGCTGTACTCGTAGTCAGCCGGAGTAACCATCATACCCCGGCTAACAGAAGTTCATATGAAGTGAATCGTTCTTCACCAGGACAGCCTCATACACCTAAACCCTGTCCCCAGTGAGTACTAGCAATGAAGGCACGTGCGGTTTACTACCGCAGCTCCTAGCTAGCTGGTTTTTATTGTCCATCTCTATTTTCCTATCGGTTTTGTCATTTCCCGATGGTGTCAGAATATTGTCATGGACTGACTGACTGGGAGTGCTATCGTTTTGCTTCAGGTGTATGACTTATCTAGCAAAGAATTTAGCAGAACACAGCGTTGGGGTCTGCTTCTGCCCTGCTGCCAAACCAGGGCCTGGGGGGTGGTGAATTAAGACATTGAAGCTGTTGTCCCGGGTATCAGTCTGCCCTGCCCTTGCTTTCTGGAATTGAGCTGCAGTTGTCCAAATCTTTTCTCCTTCCCATTCCTCTCTCTTTATAACAAGTGGATCCGTTGCTGGTTTTAAGAAGCTGGAAGTGACATTAACCTCCTGCCCAGCTGCTGCGGTGTCAGGGCTCCAGGCAAAATGGCATTTGTTTGGCTCCCAGAGAAGTCATCCCAACGATTGCCTGGAGAGTCTGGCTGCAAGTGAAATCCATATGCAATGCTTCTGTCAGCAAAGGCTCGCTGGAAGAGAGTGTCTAATAAATATTCACATCTGCTGCTTTGGACACTCTAATCCATCCTACAGATCTTTGCTGTGTCAGGCTTTGTTCTAGATGAAGAAGCCGGGTAGTTATAAAGGTTTGCAAATAGGGCATATTTATCATGGTTAGCGCTACTTTCTAGTTCCCTTGATGACTAAAAATAGAAAAATATCTCCTGTTTTTCATAATTTCCCAAAAATGATGGCCTCGGTGCCAGATTGACTTTGTCAGTGTCAATATTAATTATTCCTCTGCTGGTGATGACTTTGCTTTCAGAGAGAAAATCCTGATACCTAAAAAGAGCTGTAATCATTTGGAGAGTATATTGAACTCGCTCCTAACAGAAAAAGGTGTTTGACCAGGATCATGACTGGCTGTACAATGATCCCTTTGTTGGGAGGACCACGTCAGCTTTGAAATGAATGTATTGATCCTCCTTTTTTTTTGTACATGGAACTCATGATTCTTATAGTTAATTTCTAAAAGCAGAGACTCTTTATCTGGTGGCCGGATAAGTAAAAAGTGCTTCAAACATATCACTTACCAGCTGTTACCGCTGCTTTTACTTAGGCAGGAGGATAATAAACTTATAAATACATTCTGTCTCTTTGGGATTGATGAAAACTGAGTCCGTTTGGTTCATCAATAAACACATGGAAACTGGGAACTCCTTAGAACCTTTTTTAGGTTTTCTTTTAATTTTTTTCCTACCATTAGGCCCAATTCCATACTAACATTTTCATTATGGTTGTTTTTTCCATAAGGATATAAGGGAGCGAGGCGCTCAGTTCAGTTAGATGCCTGACCTCCTTGAAATTCAGTTGAAAACCCACATCTTCATTTCTTACAGAGCTGTACAGGAAAAGCAGAGTTAAGAGCATGGTTTGATGCTGATACCTCCAGGTATCAGAAGAGCAGCTACTTCTCTGGTGCTCAGTCTCCGTGTCAGAATTTGGCCCTGAATAATTGTATCCAACAGAAGTAAAATAGCTGTGCTCCTTATGAGCAGCATGTCTGGGTCTCCAGATTTGCTTCAAAATCCAATTTCATTATTACTGATCTGACCAACTTTCTTGATAATTTATCTCAGAAAACAGGAGTACGCAAAATGCAGGTGTCTTTAAAGCAACCATCTCACAACTTCCAGCGCTGCTTTCTTGCTTTGCCTTTGCAAACCTCAATAACTTTCCTCTGAACTTCAGGTCGTATTGTGGCTCTGGCGAGCAGCGATGGATCCGTTAAGGTTCTGCAACTTGAGTTTGGGCAGCAATCCAGCCTGCGGGGCCACAGCGGCGAAGTGTGCGGCGTTCTCTTCCATCACAAGGCAGAGCAGCTGCTTTCCGGGGGTGCCGACGGTACGGTTTGTCTCTGGACCTGGGGATTAGCACGCTGCTTAATGTAACCTTAATCGCAAGGCGTTACGGGGAAAAATGGTTTGACAACATAGGAGCGAGGGCTTGGTGAAGTGTTTTCGTAGTTAATGTTTGCAGTGGGAATAATGGCCTGAAAGGAATATTATTCGGCATTTTATCCAAATAAAATCCCCAATTTCTCCCTCTATCTTTTGACACTGTGTTTTTCCAAACAGCCAGACTCTCTTTTGGTGGTTTCTGGAGAAATAGCTTTACAATGACGCCTAATGACAGAGCAGACGAATTGCAAGGAGATCGATTTT